GACATTTGAATATGATTTCCTCATTGGTTCCATTCCAGGTATTTTATTTTATCTAAGGTTCAGATGGCTTTGTTGGTCCAAGTATGCTCTGTGTTGGTATGAGTCTGAATCTGAAGTGAAGCCAAACCATTAACACAACAGCTAGGCTCTCACAGTTTGACAACAGTCACAATACAAAAAACAACAAACCTAAAGTAAGGAATAAAGTTTATCCAGAGCTGTGTCAATAACAAAACTCGTTTTTTTACAGTTAAACCAGACTAGGGCGGAAACCTCAGCAACCAGGAGAATCAACAGCAAAGGCCATATTGTCCAACCTCACAAACAGATAATTATCGATGTTGAGACCTGTCAGCCATTGGCTGGAGTATTCTATGTAAGTACCTTGGACAGATCCCTTGTTTCTGGTGGCAGCATGATCAGGACCACGGTCAGCACCCTGTAGTTACTCTGACTGGAGAATTTAAGGACAGTGTTTGTTCTTTCACTTTATAAGTTGAATTTTAGTGTCATATCTCTGAGAAAAAAATAATATTCAGCCCCCCATTACTGTGTTCTCAGACATAGTTGTTACAAAGTTAAAACAAAGAAGCTGATTTGCTCCCTGATTCATAACTGAGCGCGATGCGACTCTCTAAACAATGCTTTCCCATTGACATAGCTGATGGTGTGTATTAAATAACTAATTCAACACTACCACATTATTGTGTGTGATATGTGAACCACTGTGCACCATTTACACCTCCTCTAAATCAAATTAATTGTTTAACTACATTGAATAATCAGAAATAGCATCCATCCATTTTCTAACCACTTATCCTCTTGAGGGTCGTGGTGGGGGCTGGAGCCTATCCCAGCTGACATTGGGTGAGAGCAGAAGCGGTCCTGGCTAGTTTTACGCCCTGGGCAAACCATCCCTCTCCCATGGGGAGAACATGCAAACTCCGCACAGAAGTACTCCCGCACCCAGGATCGAACCAGGAACCCTATCGCTGTGAGGCAATGGTGCTAACCACCACACCACCGTGCCGCCCATCAGAAATAGCAATCATTTTAAAATGAAGCAAGTTACTGATCACATATAGAAACTGCAGTTTAATTTTTTTTAATCATCATTAAATACAGTTGGTTTTATTAGATTATATAAAGTTATTAAAACTTTATGTATGATACATGCATACATACACTTTGAGATTATTTTTGCTTAAAGGGATTATTCACCCCCCACAATCAAAAACACATATTTTTCCTCTTACCTGTAGTGCTATTTATCAGTCTAGATTGTTTTGGTGTTAGTTGTGGAGTGTTGGAGATATCAGCCGTAGAGATGTCTAATAATATGGTTATAAATGGCACTTGGCTTGTTGTACTCAAAGACCCTGTTTCCAGTTATAATCTATGGACCCTATTGTGAGCATTTTCATGTAGGAACTATTTTCTTCTGTCAAGCTATCCATCAACCATATCACGCCGCAGAAGAAAACATGCATCTACTCATGGACGATAGGCTCGTGCTCAGGACAGCGTCACATGTGAACATTAATGGTGTCCTTCTCAGCTGAGCTGTAACGTTAGCTAGCTCAAAAGTGCTAGATGAGCTAGCAGTAGATGCACACTTTCTCCGTCGCAGTGATTTGGTTGACACCTGTAATTCTGTAGAAAGAAAATAGTTCCTACATGAAACTGCTCACACCAAGCTCTGTGGATTATCTTGAGTGACCAGGTCATAATTTCTGGAAAGAGACATTGCTGTTGCTGTTTTCAAATGTAATCTTTCAGCGCCTTGAGCACCAAAAGCTGAGTGCTATCTAGTTCCATTATATTGGAGAGAAGGCAGACATCTCTACAGCCGATATCTCCAACACTCGGCAACTCACACCAAAACAATCTAGACTGATAAATAGCACTACAGGAAAACAAATGTGTTTTTGATTGTGGGGTAAACTGTCCCTTTAACTTTATGTTGTATTGACTAAAGTAAATTGGGATCAAACTATTCTTTGCTCTTTCTCCTCCAAGTTTCCAAAACTTGGAGGAGAAAACTGAAGTTAAGAACTAGGCTACTTAGCTTTCTTATGATGGCTTTCTATTCATATTAGACAACATTATAAGATTTTATGATTAACTTTTAAGGTTTCAGACAGTCAACAGATAGGGTTTTATTAATTATGCCTGACACAAAAGAAGTCTCTTACATTTTCTACACTGTATATGCCTACAACTACTGTTGGCAACAGGGCAACATCCCAGATTATCTTTTTTTGAAACCCTTCAGCTCTTCAGAGGGAATCCCCAAACAATTCCAATGTAGCTCCCAGTGTCCTGGATAATTTTCATAGTCTCCTCCCATGGTTGCTCATATCCAGAACTCTTTTATGGTGAGATGCCTGAGTGATATCCTTACCCTGACCACCTCAAATGAATTTTCTCTGTGCGGAAGAACTGCAGCTGGTCAATAGATACCTCCCACATCACTAAACATATTTATTAAACTTAGTGTTATTCATCTAAGCGAGGCCCTCCACCTTGTTCCTAGCCCAAAAGGCAGTCTCTAGATATGGGCTATGCCTTCAAATGTCTACGTCCAAACTGGAGAGAGAAAATAGAGCCCTTTGTAAGAATCACCGGTCGCTGAACCCAAATATGTAACAGCATAACATGAAACCTGGTGTACATCCGGCCACCACCCTGTCATCAAAGGTTAAAATAAGACCACATCATCAGCCATATATTGTATTTCATTATATTTATAGTAAAAGATTAACCTTCATTGATGCCCATCGGGAAAATTTGGTTGTTGCGGCAGCACAAGGACAGCAATTGTACAGATAAATAGAGACTTAAAAATAAATTATAGCTGCTGCGCAGCGATGGGTCAGGTCCGGGCATTTTTTGGCAATTCTGAGCAACAAGCAGAAGAATTTGAAGACATTTAGGAATTTAGCAACACAATCTGCCTTTTGCATCAGCTGAGGCTTGAACTCACAACCTTTGAGACTAAGTATCAATTTCTTTCTCACTGAGCTAATTAGTCAGTGACAATTCATATGTAGCTTCACAAATTGACTAAGCCAGACGTGCAGGTTTAGCAGCCGTCCATGCATGGAAAAGCAGATTTCAAACCACTGTAAAAAATTCAGTTATCGAAACAAAAATCTGAAAATACACATATTGCATCTAGACAGCATGGAGATGTTGGTAATTTGTTTGTAACAATGATTGATTTGCTCCATAAGTGAGAAACTGATGTTTAAAATTACCATTTTTACATTGACTCCAATTGTTCACATTAGAGCAAAATTCAAAATGCTGTCAAAATTTCAGTTTTTGAGATAAAATTCTGAAATTTGCCACACATCATCTACCATGACTCTAGAATTTTGTCATTTTTTTCATGAACATTGAAGATTTATTTAGCAAGAATTTGCATGTATATGTTTACAGTACCGTTTACAGTCAAACATTTTGATGCACTGCAGGCTCAATTTTTGATAAATCAAAAATCTGTTTTTGTGGGACAGTCTGAAGATGCTCTGTAGCAAGTTTGGTGTCAATTGAGCAAAAATTGTGGGAGGAGATAGGTTTAAGAAGTTTTACAGTTTTTGAAAAAATGATGAAAAAAAGTTGTGAAGTTGTAGCACGTATGGTTGATTTGTTATGACAAGTTTTGAACTTTAGATGCTTGCTGTAGCGCCACCATCAGGACTATTGGCTTGAGTTTACAGCTGAGGATATCTGGCATGAGACTGGACCTTTGTGCAAAATTTGATGAGTTTTCACCCATGGGAAGTATGATTTCCTCGGAAGAAGAAGGAAGAAAGAAGAAAGAAGAAGAATACCTAAGATTACAATAGTGTGCACGGACACTAATGATAGGAGGTATTTTGAGGTCCAGTGTGTAAGATTTAGGGGGATTTAGTGGCACATAGTGGTGAATATTGCAGATTGCAACCAGCTGAAACTTCTATAGGTCAGAATTCCTTCAGTATTCATTGTTCAGGAGGTTTATATTGGGAGCCAAATTATCCACAGAGGTCTCATCTTCTCCAAAACAAACAGACCAGGTGATTAAAAATGGTAAAAACACTGAATTAAGCAGTTTCATGTTACAAATCAGTGTTTCTCCAATGCTGTTTGGCGTGTCAGAGATAGGTTGCAGGCCCAGCACCTGCTAATGTGTGCTCACTTTTTTTTCTGTGTTAACATAAGATCCCAATTTTTAGGAGGTTTTCCACCAAAAGCTGAATTATCCACAGAAGTCTTCTCCTGTCCAAAACAAACTGACCCTGTGATAAAAACCAGGAAGAACACTGAATAAAGCAGTGTCACACAAAAAAAATGATCTGTGTTTTTCTGTTGCTCTCAATACTGCTAACATGAAAATGCGAAAATGCAATTGGTCGACCTTTTTTTTAGATCCAGTTTTTGTTTTATCCATTCCAGGCTACTGTAGAAACATGACGGTGCAACATGGCAATCTCCAACGAAGAGAACCCACTCCCTATGTAGATGTAAACGACTCTTTCTCACAAAAACATGAATCTTTTTTTCAGGTGATTATAAACTAAATAAAACATACTTATTATAATATATTCCATTTCTGCCAATATATCTCCCTAAATCACACACTACCTTTGAAACTAAAATTATAAGATTGAAACTATATAAAAGCATATAGAGACAGAAAAACTTACAAAGTGAAGTAATAGTGGTGTGATAAATAGAAGCTGAGTCAGCAAGAAGCCATCTAAATTATATTACATTACATTATATTATAATGAATTAAAAATGTCAAGAATAGGTCTCCAAAAATGTTGTTCTCCACGGAGTCCTAACCTCCGACTTACTTTCTTACAGTTTATTTTTATCATCAGATATTTTTCGTACTCTTTAAATGTAAGTAGCGAATGAATGTGATTAAACGTAGCCTGAAGGACTAAAACTCCTAAAAGTGTTTTTCCTACTGGACCTGTCACTGTGATCCACACACTCGATGATCATCCTCTCCTACGGATCGATTTATCTGCGCGCAGCTGTCATCACTGATTTCCAACCTGCACACCGTTCACACAGTACAACACGTCAAAATCTACAGCAATGGCAGATCCAAGAATACGGCAGATTAAGATAAAAACCGGCATCGTTAAAAGGTATGGTTGGCTTCTCGTTTCACTTAAAAACGATTTAGAATGTCAAACGAGCTACTCACAGTAGCAATGTTAAGCTAAGGGTTGCGGGCTAACTAGCTTAGCAGGGCGGGCAGGCTGGCTCGGCATCAAACCACACCGTGCACGGAGGAATGTTTGCCCCTTAGGTTTTTACTTTACTCCGGTGCTTTGACGCGGCCTATCATCAGTAAGCAGTTTGCTATTGTGTTCGCGTTTGGCACACTCCGCCTTGCTAACACCTCTGGTGTGCTAATACAAGTTCACTGTGCTCGAAAAGATAGCCTTATAATACTGGAATAATGTGCCTAGTGTAACTTGCAGAGGCAGCTAATGCTGGTCCACTGATGCTAGCTGTTAGCTAGTTAGCTATCACATTGCTAAGAGCATGTTGCCTCGTTTTTAGCTCGACTATGAGGTAGTGCTGCTGTTTTGTTGTTGAAGTTGTCCTGTACGCCGATGGAAGAGGTCACTCGCAACAAAGGTCTTTTAATATGATTTTTTAATAAACAGTATCGAAGTGGTTGTAACGTTAAATATGCAATAAACTATGGCTAGCTACAGACAAGCTAATAGTAACTGTTACCGTTAGATAAACTAATGGTACACTGTTATTTAAAACACAGCCCTGTTTAGCCCTGTTTTATCTCCACACATCAAGACTTTACCTCACCTAGTCTGAGCGTACAGTGGACATTTGTGGAGATGTAGGAAATACCTGCACAGTCATGACACTGCATCTTGTATTGCTACTGTTAGTATGGCCCATTGTCATCACGTAGATCAATATCACTGTTAATAGCCAAGTATGTGTGCACATACAAAGAATTTAATTATTTTGTTGCTCTCAATGTACATACATATAAAATACAGCTTTAACAAGGACTTCAAAAGTAAACATAAACATTTGTCTACAGTGCACACACACACACACACACACACACACACACGTATTTACAGAGCATCCTTGGATTATGTTTGACAGATGATTACAGTGTGCATTTACCATAAGATTATATAATTTACCTGTAAAGTGGATGCTTGGTGTAATAGGGTTACTTCAGGGATTGTCCCTGACACCATGGACAGTTGGAGTGTTAAATATAGCAATGGCATGTGGATAGGAACCATAGATAGAGAAATAGACCTACAAGTTTACTCTGACTAAGCACATTTTAAGAATATCCTGTAGTTTGTAAAGTATGGTCAGTTTTTTTAGTTAGTCCAACTTTTTCTCTAGCCACTGAAAGAATTTCTTTTCCAACAGTATGTAAACTTGGCCCAAAGGTTGTTACTGATATTTTACTTAAGTCAAACTTTCTGCTAGGTTTTTGTTAAGGTGCTGTATCAACAAGATTATTAAGGCATTTGTATAATTTGCGTAAGCTAATGAGACCACAGCTTATCCCGAAATGGTTGGTACTACTAGAATGCACAAGTATCAAAGCTTATAGTATTATTTGTGTTGTAACACATGGGAAGTGAATGGATTTATAAATCAAATCTACCTACAAGAGTGGTTAAAAGAATGCAGAGAAGAGAAAAGAGATTAAAGTAAGATGCTGCGTGTAGCCAAGTGTAGGTTGTATTAGACCAGCAGAATCAGTGAAGAGTTACTTTGACTACTTACCAGTAAAAGCAATACATAAGTCCCTAAATAAGAAAGGCCTTTGCTGTAAAAAGCACCAACAGGAAATGTGGAGTTTGCAGTAAAAGCATGTTAACATTTGAAAATCTCTCATATGCTCTCTGTTGTCCTTTAGGAGCACTTTGTCCTTGTGATGCACAGTTTCTTTTTAAACTTGGCTTTTTAGCTTCTGAAAAAATGCATGTTTTCTTAGATTTGGACAGGCATGGGAAACTCTTTATATAGACCCTGAAAATGTATGTAGCTGTAAATGTTTGCTTGTGATAAACTGGTATGTATGCCTATGTTGTTATCATAAGAAAGCAGTGTTTGTTCTGTCAAGATATCAATAGTGGTAAATGGTCATCTTAAGGTAGTGATCTCAACAAAAACAAACTGATCTGATCTCTACATGTGTACGCACCCTCCGTGTCTTTGTTTATTTTTTAACAACATATGCTATGTTGTTGTCATGTTCAAATAGGAAGGAAAAGCAAACAAAGACAGGTATGAAGTTCATTATTTGCAAAACAGTACAGCAAACCAGTGGTTATGTTGATAGGTTGATAGGTGTAGTGAGTCCCCAGGACCCACAGGGGATTGTTTGAGTGGGTCCCAGGGAAATTGATTGGGTCCCCAATATAATAGCAGTTTTTGACAAATTGTGTAGTTGAGCTTAGGTTTGATGTAACATGGTGATAATTATGATTTATATTTATATATGATGAAATTTAATTTAATTCTGAAAATTAAAGTCCCAAACATGAAAACTTTGATTTACAAAACATTATACAAATGTCACATCTTGAGGTGTGATCACCAAAATCCCCTACCCAGTACAAGGTAAATCAGATGTGATATATGACTGTGATAATCTCATAGAAATAGAATTTCTATTTATAATCCATAAAAATTTAAATAAGATATTGTATTTGATAATTCAACATTTTGAGAAGTGTCTCGATTCTTTTTCTTTCCAAGTTTTTATGTCGTCCTTTTACTCATTGAGACCAAAATGGGATCTTATCTTGTGCAAGATATATGCACAGACAAAAAGAAAATTGCACCAGCCAGAAAAAATATTTTTTCAACACAGTGAGTTTCCTGGACAGCAAAGCATCATTGACTCATCATCGACACATTTGAATACAGCATCTGCTGTCATAGCAGATGTTGCACTGTAAGATTACAGGGATGTCTGTAGTAATATCCAGTGTCCGAAATAAAATTTTTGGACTGAGTAAGTGGACTGGTGGATGAAAAAATCCGCTGGCCAAGCATATTTTTACCGTCCAGAATAATAAATTGCTTTTTTTTTCTGTCACACATACAGTTGTTTCAGTACCTGTCATTGAAATAGTAATGTATTATGATAAATACAGACTTAAAGAAGAGGCCAGAGCAATCTTTGAAGCAACCATGATTTTAATATATTGAACAACTCATCACCACAGCCTTAGCATGTGAATAAGTTCCCTCCAATAAGCAGTGATGCAGTGTGTATGCCTAGGGCTTTTAATGTGAAAGGTAAGAACCGAAGGAATGATGCTGTATGCTGTTGTTGACAATGTGGGATGCAATAGAAAGTTTGACATCTTGGTTCAGTCTATGGAGCCTCCTTGTTATTATTTTAGTACTGTCGTAAGCATAGGCACAACTCATAACCCTCAGCAACACATTCGCCTAATGATGCTAGCTGCAGACCAGGGAAAAAAATGAGAGCGCTCGACATGATCAGCTCACGTCACTGTTTAAATGCGCATAAAATACATCTGGTGTGTGTGTGTGTGTGTGTGTCTGTGACACTCCGGCAATGACAGCAGAGGAGCCGCGAAGAAGCATGTCCCTAAATGACGCCAAAACACAGAAGAGACTAAGCATAGTTTTATTTTTTTTAACTTGACTTTTTAAGTATAAACATTTAGCTGCCAGTGTGGCGGTTCTCAGAGATTTGCTCGCCAAACAGGAAATCTATCTGCATTTGCTGCTTGGCAGGTATTAATTTCGGACCCTGGTAATAATATGCAGATTCATAAACTGGGGTACATTTTAGGTTCCTAAAAAGGTTACTGTCTACCTGTGGTCCTTGTGGATCTCTGTGCCACTGACATTGTGCACAGAGCTTTAGAGAGCCAGGGATGAGAGCAGACAGGCAGGTTTTAGATCTGTGCAGAGTACTGGAACGAAAACAGCTATCATTTCACAGTATTATAACATCCAAAACACAAGATTTACTCTCAGTGGTTTCTGTGTTATGAGAATTACTTTTTGAATATTAATGTTTAAAAATACAAAAACAGCCGAGAAACACAGAGCTAGCTATATGGCGGTAGCCCCACCTAGTGAAAAAGCTACAGCACGCAAATGTTTGTATGATTACAACACGGATTTCTTCTTCACAGTATAGCATTATCAGGGGAAAGACACACTAATAATGAGTTTACTGCATCCTTCGGATTTTAATGTGTCACAGACACAGGACGCGACATCATTGGCCGAAGGCCTGTAAGTAGGGCTGTGATGGTATGGATTTATACGATGCAGTCTAAAAACAGTGTATCCCTGCAAACAACACCCATCAACCGTATCACCGTGCAGAAGGAGGGGTGCATCTACTCATGGCCAAGAGGCTCATGCTTGTGACAGCGTTAGATGTAAACATTAATGGTGTCTTCCTCGGCTGAGCTGCAACGTTAGCTAGCAGTAGATGCATGCCATGTTTGGCAGGTGTAGTTCGGTAAGAAGAAAGTAAGAAGTTCTTACATGAAACTGCTCACAACAAGGAGGATGTGGATTAGGTAATGTTTTCTGAAAAGAGAAATTGCTGCATAGTTTTTCAAATGTATTTTTTGTCGCTTTGAGCACCACAACCTGAGTGCCCTCTAGTTCCATTGTATTTGAGAAGCAGATATCTCTCCAACACTAGGCAACTCACACCAAAACAATCTAGATTAATAAATAACACTACAGGTAAGAGTTAAAATACGTATTTTTGATCTTGGGGATGAACTGTCCCTTAAGGCAATTTTATGTTCCACTCTATGTGCTTAGCTTCTTCACTGTTGGCAAAATTTCTTGCTGATCATGGGTGTAGCCTCAGTATTTGCTGTCCTAATAATACCCTAGTAATACTCTAATAGTTTAAAAGAATAATGAATTGAAATTCCAAACCTTAACCATAATAAATGTGTTTTGTTTTGTACATCTGGGACACAACACAAGCTTTTTGATGTAGGACACCTCAAGCTCATCATCCGCTTCAAGCCAGCCTATTAATAGAGATGGCATCCATTCTGAGCTAAATTTGTACAATGTCCAGATTTACCTTGCTGGAATAGAAAAAAGGGTAGATATAATA